GTATTTTTCCTGTGTCTAAGGAACCAGAACCAATAGATTCTGTTGATGAAGAAGTCATCGATGAAGTAAATCCTGTTGACGATGAAGTCATAGATGAAGTAAATCCTACTGAAGAAGAAATCTACCAAATAGAAGATGATGGTTTAACCGATTCCATGGTTGACGAAGAGAGTATTTTTCCTGTGTCTAAGGAACCAGAACCAATAGATTCTGTTGATGAAGAAGTCATCGATGAAGTAAATCCTGTTGACGATGAAGTCATAGATGAAGTAAATCCTGCTGAAGAAGAAATCTACCAAATAGAAGATGATGGTTTAACCGATTCCATGGTTGACGAAGAGAGTATTTTTCCTGTGTCTAAGGAACCAGAACCAATAGATTCTGTTGATGAAGAAGTCATCGATGAAATAAATCCCGCTGAAGAGAGAATATATCAACCAGAAGAGGGTGGTTTAATCGATTCTATGGTTGGCAAAGATAGTATATTTCCTCAGTCAGAGGAACCGGAATCTATAGATCCTGTTGATGAAGAAGTCATCGATGAAGTAAATCCTGTTGACGAAGAAGTCATCGATGACGTAAATCCCGATGGCGAAGAAATCATAGATGAAGTAAATCCTGCTGAAGAAGAAATCTACCACATAGAAGATGATGGTTTAACCGATTCCATGGATGACGAAGAGAGTATTTTTTCTCAGTCTAATGAACCAGAACCAATAGATCTTGTTGACGAAGAAGTCATAGATGAAGTGAATCTTCCTGAAGAAGAAATCTACCATCCAGAAGATGATGGTTTAATCAAGCCCATGGTTGACAAAGAGATTATTTTTCTTCAGTCAAAAGAAATGGCACCAGAAGATACTGATGACGAAGAAGTCAGTGATGAAGTAAATCGTGGTGAAGAAAAAGTTCACCGACAAGTAAACGATGAGTTGATCAAGTTCATCGTTGGCAAAAAGAATATTTTTCCTCAAATAAAGGAACCGGTCTCTGTGGACTCTGATGATGAAGAGGTGGTAGATAAAATAAATCCTGTAAAAGAGGGAAGCTATCAACAAAATGTCGGCGATTTGACCAATATCGAGGAACTTCCTTTAGAAAAAGCAGTTGTCATTGAAGAGAAACCAGAGACTGTACCTGAAAGCGTTCCAATACATGATGATATAATCCCCATTAACCCCCTTTCAATCGTTTCGAAGAACATGGAATACAAGAATATGGTGTAAATCATACATAAATCGCTCTGATTTTAACAGTTGTTTTGTACTTGAAACAATTGTTAAAATATTATTTCAATCTTCAGGAGCAAACTTTTTGATATTACCTTTATTGTAACAAAATACACTTGGTAATGTATTACAGTATAAGGAAAACGTTATTCAGGCAGTTATCATCACTAAAATAAAACTTACATGTGCGAAAAACACGATAATTAACTGCAGATTGTTACTTAATACTTATAATTGGTTTATTCTTAATAGGTTTTGTTTTCGTTATGTAATTTTTGTTATGATGTTGTTTCATTTAGCCTTTGTAGATTCTCAGTGAATTAAACTATTACTTTAGCCTTTTTTTATATTTTCAGTTTGTTGTAGAATGAAAATAATATTAGACAGTGATAATTAAACTTCTTTCCGTCCATATTTTGGAACTTGGATATTTTAAATGTCCAAGCAATCCTTGTTGTAAAATAAACACGCGTATTTACCCCTTGTTTTGGTCAGTAGCCTATATGATCACTTAAGCCTAATTATTAATTACTTAACTTTTTCTGTTAGATGCTAATTACTGATTAGCTTATATCGTACGTCTTGGCATCAGCATTTTTAGCAAGAAGACCTAGGATTGAATTTCGGCACTACAAACCCAAAACGTAGGACTTTCCTGAATATGGCAGCAGATTAGCAACCGAAACATAAGATATAAATTAATCAGTATTTAACTAATGAAAACCATGAAACAAATAAAATAAACAGTAAATAACTAGTCCTAACTGTGAAAACGACTATTAATCAATCACTACAACTTTTGTTCAAGTTCTGGACGAAAATACTGGAACACAGTTTTATCTACTGGTTCAAAACCCGTCACCGAACATGCTGTCCCATTCACCCGTGAGAGTGTTATAATGTGTCTGTCAATACCACTTTTCCAAAAATAGGTGGTGGGTGGTGTTCACTAGCTCCCTTCCTACTAGTCTATAACTGTTAAATTTGGAGTGGCTAATGCAAATCTCGCCCCCCAGTGGCACAGCGGTATGTCTGCGAACTTACAGCGCTAGAAACCGGGTTTCGATATCCGTGGAGGGCAGAGCACAGATAGCCCATTGTGTAGTTTTGTGCTTAACTTCCAACAAACAAAAATCCAAATCTCAATAAACAGAAACAAACTTACACCCTCTCGTGTTAGGTAAAAAGCGGACTAGCATTAGGCTACGAAGACTGGCCCCAAAAGGAACTACTATAAATGGATTGAAATAGTTGAAAGTAAATGTAATAATTCTTACGTTATCCAATTTTCAGTCATTTTTACGCAACGTGCTAAAAATTACAGCCACTTGCTTTTGACAAAAGTTGTCGCTGTAACAATAGCGTATTGCAGTGTTTTCCAAACTATAAATAGCAGCGCCCCCTAACTGACGCATTGTACCCTTAGTACCCTCGGATATCCACTTTATGTGGAACAAGTTGAGTATTTGAGGTGTGTAGCTACTTTGGAAGTCCACGAGGACTTTACATATTGCTCTACTTTTGTCCGAAAGTCATCATAGGTCAGTTTATTTATATTTTTTCTTTACTCACATCACACAAATTGTGCAATAATGGAGTTTGTAGAATTTTTAGAAGCTTATAAAAAAATTTTAAAAAAATATCAGAATTTGTTTTCTTTAGTTTTTTAATTATTTTTTCTCGGAATTTTTTTTTAATTTTTCTACTATCATGAACTGCTTTTTACTTAGTATCTTTTCCACTCCCGGATCTCGGAAAATGCGTTGTGATTTTTGTTGTGTTCTTTACAACTCACTTTTGGTATTTGTAATAACTCTGTCGTATTACTACTTGTAATTTTTGTTGTGTTCTTTACATCTCACTTTTGGTATTTGTAATAACTCTGTCGTATTACTACTTGTAATTTTTGTTGTGTTCTTTACATCTCACTTTCCGTATTTGTAATAACTCTGTCGTATTACTACTTGTAATTTTTGTTGTGTTCTTTACATCTCACTTTTCGTATTTGTAATAACGCTGTCGTATTACTACTTGTAATTTTTGTTGTGTTCTTTACATCTCACTTTTCGTATTTGTAATAACTCTGTCGTATTACTACTTGTAATTTTTGTTGTGTTCTTTACATCTCACTTTTGGTATTTGTAATAACTCTCTCGTATTACTACTTGTAATTTTTGTTGTGTTCTTTACATCTCACTTTTGGTATTTGTAATAACTCTGTCGTATTACTACTTGTAATTTTTGTTGTGTTCTTTACATCTCACTTTTCGTATTTGTAATAACTCTGTCGTATTACCTGTGAACGTCACGAAACTTAACAACATTGCACTACACACTTACGTTTCGTTTAGAATTTCGCGCAAAGCTATCTGCGCTAGTCGTCCCTAATTTAGCAGTGAAAGACTAGAGGAAAGGCAGATTGTCATCACCACCCACCGCCAACTCCTTTACCAACGAATAACGGGATTGACCATTAGATTATAAAAACCCCACGGCTGAAAAGACGAACATGTTTGGTGGGACGGAGATTCGAACTCGCGACTCTCAGATTGCGAGTTAAGCGCCCTAACCACCTGGCCATTAGATTCAATGGACTCTAAAGGGCAGTGATATCACGTGACGTATCATTGTGCGCCACACTGTGAAATGAGTCTAGGAAATTTCATACTCTTCCCGAGTTGCTGTATTCTTTAGCTCCAGAATAATAGATTACTTTCGAATGTGACGGTCAACCTCACTCTTCTTTGACAAAAGAGTAGCCCAAGAGTTGGCGGTGGGTGATATTGATTAACTGCCTTCTTTCTAATCTATCATTTTAAAATTAATGACGAGTAGCGCAGATAGTCCCCTAGTAGCTTTGCGTGAAATTGTAAAAAAAAAGACTCTGGAAGCCACATCCATATATGCCAGGTTAAGCTGTTCGAAATGACGTCACACTCGAAGAAGATCCAGTACAATGTATATTACTGTGCTCCCACCTATCGTAACTGAATCTTCGAAAGATGCAAAGTTGAGTACCGTTTCGCACTGTTCACCGTTGTGCGTGTGCAGAGATATCACGAATACAAAGTGTAGGATGTATACAAGATCTCCCACGTTAAATCATAATTAATGAAACGCGAAAACACAAACATTTTTATAATATATGGGTTGGGTACATTGTTAAAACGATTTTGGACTCTCACCATGTCGTTGCAGTATATACTGTTACGTCTATTTGACGATTGAGCATCTTGACAATAGATATGAAACGTATTTTAACTTTCAAAAAGCTCCATCGTAAGGCTGTCATGTTCCAAGCAAACCCTCTCTTCTCTGTATGCGTTTCATAATCTATCTAGCACACCAGATCGACGGTTCCCAGCACTAATTTCAACAGATTTATCGCACAAGAATCCATAATTGCTTCGTCTAGTGACTTGACAGGTATAGCTTCGTATGTAATAACATGAATACCCATTTCATTCTCCAGCCGCTTCAATTATGCGATGGTTCAACGGATATGTCGGAGAATCAACTCGTGTACAAGTAACTTCTGTCGCTTTTCCAGAAAGAAATTCTTTTTCACTGTGTAGCGTACTGTTACCAAAACGTGGACAACTTTTGCAAACGACTTTTATGTTCGTAGATTCTAACCTTTTACAATACATTGTACTTTCCTTACCACGACTGGTTGCAGGTTTCTTTCTGGATGACACTGCCGCCATAAGTTGATCCATATTCCTTCGCTTTCCAATGATATTAGGAACAAGGGATATTCCCGTCTTGGAAATTATAAATCCTGATCTCAACATATCTTTATGATCTGAATGTATAAATATCTTTTGTCGTGAAAAGCTATTATATGTTCTTCTCAGAAGCGATCAAGCTTCGGTGGCATCACACTACATATGTGACACCAAACAATGTCAAAGTGTAGTATTGATACATTCTGTTCCACCGTGACTTTGTGTGATCTGTGGTTGTCACGTGACTCGGTAATTCGTATAATCAAAATCGTTTTAATGTAACGTACTCCGCCCTATATGTATGTCTTCGTAAGTTAACAGTATTCTCCTAATGACAAGTAGGTCTTTTGAAAGAGCTTGTGTTTTTTTTAAACCGAAACAAATGTTTTAACACGGATATTCGTTACGTTTAACAAAGTATTCTTGCTAGAACTCACGCTCTTATTGAAAGGTTAAACAGTGTGGCTTAATAAAAAAGACGAGATCCATCAGGGACAAGCCCAGCTACTTGGACATTTCCATAATTCAGCTATAATGTTTAATACTAACAATAAAATTACTTTTTAAAGATAGTCAAATTGTCTTCACAAAGCGAAACAGAAGTGAAAGTCATCAAAGTACGATGGTATTAAATAAAGTCATTCTTATAAAAACGTGGTATAATTTAAACATTTAAAAGAACATCTCAGCATCAAATACTGGGTTGAGATTTTTAACATCTGCGTGTAATTGAGAAAACCAAGAAAATATAAAAGCTTGACTTAATACGCTACCACCAGAGGACACCATATACGTATTTCTGTTTTCAAAACAATATCAAGAAAATAAGTAAATATTCCTTGGATCTGTAACTGTGATATATAGAACACCGTACGTCTTTCAAATTAGTAATACGAATATATATATTCGAATTTACATGCAGAAAACTAATCTGGTTATTTACTTTCAACTTTGTACATAATTTTATAGTTTGGTTTGGTTTGAATTTCGCGCAAAGCTACACGAGGGCTATCTGCGCTAGCCGTCCCTAATTTAGCAGTGTAAGACTAGAGGGAAGGCAGCTAGTCATCACCACCCACCGCCAACTCTTGGGCTACTCTTTTACCAACGGATTGACCGTCACATTATAACGCACCCACGGCTGAAAGGGCGAGCATGTTTGGTGCGACAGGGATTCGAACCCGCAACCCTCAGATTGCGAGTCGAGCGCCCTAACCCCCTGGCCATGCCGGGCCTTATTATTTTATAGAAAGATGCTGAAAAAAGTACTTTTGTTCTTTGTGCAAAGCTATGGTTTTTAAGTCGAACTGATAGAGAGTTGTTTAAAATTAATGATGACAAAGAAGACGGATAATTTATTTATTTCTGATGGGGAAACCATACGACAGAGTTTTTACTTGTGTTCACTGAAACAGTTCAATCAATACATTTTGGGTTAAAACAAAAGAATCAGAAGAAAAAAATAATGTCGAACATCTTATGACTTTTAAAATACAAACTAGTTAAATAAATTAAAACAGCATTTGTGCTTATGTAGACAATTAAAAGGAGTATAAAGTTAAAATAAATGCACAATAAATAATTTAATAAAAACACGATCCAGTCCTAAAAAGACTCTA